ATAATTATTGAATTGAGAATAGACTTTATTATTGTTTAAACCCCTAAGAAATTCAATAATTGTGATTAATTAAATCAACAAATTATGCTAATAAATTAAGTTTTAATAGTATTATTAAGAAAAGAATTAGATACACAAATCTAGTTGATTAAGTGTAATCAGAAAAAAAATTATAGGTGATTAGCTGATGTAGAACACCTGACAACAGATTGTTCTACTAATTCATAATAAATTATAGGCTGACCATTGCCCTTTGAAAACACAATAAAAAGTCGAAAAGTAATAGTAGATAGAAAATGAGTGAGAGGAATTCAGTGCGATCAGTAGTGTTTGATTTGGATCGGTATAACTAACGATTAAGACTCATCACTTCGTCATGAGCTCCATCAATTTTGGCTTGAATTTTATCATTTAAACCCTCAAAACTCTGTTTTTGCCATTTTAGGAAAAAATTGGAAATTAATAATAAACATAGAAGATTCTAAATTCAATCTTATCATTTTTATTAGACTTCAGACGATACGTGCTTTTATGTTAATTACTTAAATTATAATTTTCTATTTTTGATAAATTTCGTATAATTAAGAATTTTTTTTTTCATTATAACACGATTAGAGTTACGAGTCATATATTAAGTGAATAATACATATTTTTAGAGAGTTTATTTTACTTTTCTTATGGATTCAAGATTATTGNTTAATGTTAATAGGCAGCAACGAAGATGATGGCTTTTGAATAACATGAGAATCCTTGTTGATCTTCAATGGCGATGGACGTGGACCATTGATCACCATTCTAGTCTGTTCACCTTCATCAAACTTTGCAGGGCTCATGGCTTCACACTCNCATGAAATCTCTAGCCTTCGTGTGGATGATCTTCGGAGAATGGGTATAAATGATTACTGGTTTTCTCAGTTGATGATTTGCAATGGGGTTTTGCTGCTTTATGGCAGCCGCAGCTTGACCAGAATTAATGTTAATCGGCAGCAACGAAGATGATGGCTTTTGAATAACATGAGAATCCTTGTTGATCTTCAATGGCGATGGACGTGGACCATTGATCACCATTCTAGTCTGTTCATCTTCATCAAACTTTGCAGGGTTCATGGCTTCACACTCTTAGAATAACAAATACAGCTATGACCCACAAAAAAAAGAAAGAAACGATCTGAGCTATAATGTATATATTTAGTGAGTGGTTTGTTACACACACTGAGAGAGAGAGAGAAAGAGAAGGTTATCTGGCAATGGAGATGAAGAGAGGGATGATGTGATATATAGGGAGTGGTTGTGAAGGTTAGAGGAGAGAGAGATAGGGATGAAAAATAAATGGATCAGCCAACAATTCTGACCGTTGACATTTTTTTGGGGTGTTATGTGGTGTTGAAATTTTAGGGTTTAGCGGATAGCAGTTGTGAGACGGTACTACATTTGTATATTCTAGCTTTTTTGTCGGCTGACCAACGACGGCGTAGTTGGCGGGGAAGCCGGTTAGTAGAGAGCTGTTACACGTTTTATCAACACTATGTTTTTTTTTTGTTTTTTTTTTTGTGCTGGGTATCAACACTAGGTTCGTGTACATACGGTATTCGTGTAAATTAATAATAAAAAAAAATAAAAAAAATAAATATTATTTAAATTTNTTTTTTTAGCAGATAATCAATTATTAAAAAGAGAGGAGGGGTCCACATACACTTAGTCTCACTTAAATGCATGGTAAATAATTAGTCAAGAAAAAAATTGAAGAGAAAATGTATTACAAATATGACTGATAATCGAACCAAGCTACTCGAGTTTGGCTCGGATCTGACTCGTTATGGGCTCGTCCAGGCTTGACTCATTTTTTAAACAAAAACAAGTCGAACTTGAATAATTTTTTACTCTTATTTAAAAAACAAACTCGATAGGTTCGACTTGAACTCGACAGACTTGACATATTTATCTCAAGCTCGGCTCAAATATAAGTGAATTGAACTTAAATTATATTTTAGACTTATTTAAAAAACGATTTCAATAAACTTGAATTAAATTTGTTCAGACTCGTTTGAATATGGGCCAAATTGCAAGGGATCTCAAACCAAGAATACCCTATTTCCATTAAGTGGTTGAGACCTTTGACATTTAAACAAGTCGTCTTCTTTTTTTTTTTTTTGAACTTTCACATTTAATGAAAGTCAAAACTTGATAAAACGACAGCAGTCCGTCTTGGCCGAATTGACCTCATGTTTGTCAAATGCACATCCACCGCCATCGTTTAAAAATCTAAAATCAATTATACTTTTGACCTTCAAAGTTTATATTGATTCTTATTTTGATCTTTAAGATTTTATTTTAGTTTCATCTCCTCTAATTTCAACAACTTTTGGTTTAGTCCAGCTAATACCTTCCCTAAAAGAACTTGACAGAAAAAAACCACATGTGTTATTAGTCAAAATGACATTTGAACACATGCCTTTTTGAGAAATTTTTAACCTATATCTATATCTATTTATATTTATATTACTTCTAAATATCAAAAAATAGGAAAAAAACTTTTGATTTTCCTTATTACCCTTCAGAAAATATATAAAGACAATACAATACACAACCTTTAATGTTATTTACAACGTAATCCCTACTTTCTACTATTCCCATTAAATTAGAGATATTGTGAGTTAAAGAAATTAGAGAGTCAGAAAAATATTATTTCTTACCAGGTTATTTCTCTCTCTCTCTCTCTCTCTCTCTCTCTCTCTATTATAGAATAAGTAACTAATTAAAAACTAGGTAGAGAATTGACTCTACATATGTATTAGAGATTTAATTTTAACTATAGGTTTTTATGAAATCTCGGCTGATTTTCAACAAATAAATGCACCAATAAAGTGAAAAATGATTTCTGACATATTTTAATTTTTAAAAGTTACATGGGAAGGTGACCGAAAAAGAATAATTTTTGCATTTATTAAAATATTTTGTTGAGTTTAAGTAAACACAAATTAGCAAGGCCCATATCACAACAAAATATTATCGAAAATAATTCACATGCAACACTCTAATATATACATCAAACTAGTTTAATTAGACATATTGATACCAAATAATCTAAAAGAATGGTGTTTTTACACCTACATGGGTTGTTTCAGTTGTCAATAAAGTGGTGATGCATAAACCAACAATTCTTGGAAAGGAAAAGCTCTCATCAACTCAGTCAGGAAACTGTATTTGACAACTACAGTTTATGTTATTTGGAGGAAAATGAACCAAAGAATTTTCAACAATGAATTCAGGGATCCTATACATATCCAGCAGAACATCCTCCCCACTGTAAGATACAAACANGGGTTGTTTCAGTTGCCAATAAAGTGGTGATGCATAAACCAACAATTCTTGGAAAGGAAAAGCTCTCATCAACTCAGTCAGGAAACTGTATTTGACAACTACAGTTTATGTTATTTGGAGGAAAATGAACCAAAGAATTTTCAATAATGAATTCAGGGATCCTATACATATCCAGCAGAACATCCTCCCCACTGTAAGATACAAACATTTCTCACTTAAATTCAAAAACACCGCCAGCAACAAGGAACTAGCCCTTGATTGGAGGCTACCTAGCTCTTGTTTTGGTACATGAAGATGAAGTTGTTCTTTTTCAACTATGTAATTTAATCTGTGAAGGTTAATGCCACTTAAACAACNACATGAAGATGAAGTTGTTCTTTTTCAACTATGTAATTTAATCTGTGAAGGTTAATGTCACTTANTATGTTAATTACTTAAATTATAATTTTCTATTTTTGATAAATTTCGTATAATTAAGAATTTTTTTTTTCATTATAAGAACGATTAGAGTTACGAGTCATATATTAAGTGAATAATACATATTTTTAGAGAGTTTATTTTACTTTTCTTATGGATTCAAGATTATTGCTGTTATATACACTTAGAAACGGTGCTCTTGTTGTGTCATTTCATTACCGTTACGTTCACTACAATAAATTTATTTTTTAGTGACGAGTTTTGACGATGAACAAATTTATTTCTCTCAGTAAACTTTTTTATGACCATTTTTTGTATGGATGTATATATACACTAGTTCTAACTATGTCTTGATTAATTGTGTACTATTGTGCTAGTTATAAGTAGATTTCCAACTCTCTTGTGGCAGGCTGGGTTTGTTGGTCTGCTAAATACAATGGAATCAAAGCTAGTCTGGATTGAACTCTTGAATTAATTAAGGGCCTTAATGTTTTTATGATTTAAAAGAATATATGTGTTTTCATTTATATTTATTTTTGTATATATCTAAATATATATTCTATTTTGCTTATTAATACGAGTTTATACTTTTGTTTTCTGAAATTTATTCTTAGTTATTTATGTTAACTCCATAATAAGAATAAATTTTAGAAAACTTACATAGAATATATATATTTTTTTGATCAGAGACAAACTACAACATTACATACTTACATAGAATATTACAAGGTTGTATTTGTGATGATAAAAGGGATGTTTTTTTTTTATAAAATTGAATGGGTTATTTTTAATTTTGTGGCACATCATCTCACCTAAAATCTCTGAGCCCAAAACTCTTTAGAGTAAGAATATGGACTTAAATCTCCTCCGATGTATATTTTTTCTTTACCTTTTTTTTAGCAGATAATCAATTATTAAAAAGAGAGGAGGGGTCCACATACACTTAGTCTCACTTAAATGCATGGTAAATAATTAGTCAAGAAAAAAAACTGAAGAGAAAATGTATTACAAATATGACTGATAATCGAACCAAGTTACTCGAGTTTGGCTCGGATCTGACTCGTTATGGGCTCGTCCAGGCTTGACTCATTTTTTAAACAAAAACAAGTCGAACTTGAATAATTTTTTACTCTTATTTAAAAAACAAACTCGATAGGTTCGACTTGAACTCGACAGACTTGACATGTTTATCTCAAGCACGGCTCAAATATAAGTGAATTGAACTTAAATTATATTTTAGATTTATTTAAAAAACGATTTCAATAAACTTGAATTAAATTTGTTCAGACTCGTTTGAATATGGGCCCAAATTGCAAGGGATCTCAAACCAAGAATACCCTATTTCCATTAAGTGGTTGAGACCTTTGACATTTAAACAAGTCGTCTTCTTTTTTTTTTTTTGAACTTTCACATTTAATGAAAGTCAAACATTGATAAAACGACAGCAGTCCGTCTTGGCCGAATTGACCTCATGTTTGTCAAATGCACATCCACCGCCATCGTTTAAAAATCTAAAATCAATTATACTTTTGACCTTCAAAGTTTATATTGATTCTTATTTTGATCTTTAAGATTTTATTTTAGTTTCATCCTCTAATTTCAACAACTTTTGGTTTAGTCCAGCTAATACCTTCCCTAACAGAACTTGACAGAAAAAAACCACATGTGTTATTAGTCAAAATGACATTTGAACACATGCCTTTTTGAGAAATTTTTAACCTATATCTATATCTATTTATATTTATATTACTTCTAAATATCAAAAAATAGGAAAAAAAACTTTTGATTTTCCTTATTACCCTTCAGAAAATATATAAAGACAATACAATACACAACCTTTAATGTTATTTACAACGTAATCCCTACTTTCTACTATTCCCATTAAATTAGAGATATTGTGAGTTAAAGAAATTAGAGAGTCAGAAAAATATTATTTCTTACCAGGTTATTTCTCTCTCTCTCTCTCTCTCTCTCTCTCTCTCTATTATAGAATAAGTAACTAATTAAAAACTAGGTAGAGAATTGACTCTACATATGTATTAGAGATTTAATTTTAACTATAGGTTTTTATGAAATCTCGGCTGATTTTCAACAAATAAATGCACCAATAAAGTGAAAAATGATTTCTGACATATTTTAATTTTTAAAAGTTACATGGGAAGGTGACCGAAAAAGAATAATTTTTGCATTTATTAAAATATTTTGTTGAGTTTAAGTAAACACAAATTAGCAAGGCCCATATCACAACAAAATATTATCGAAAATAATTCACATGCAACACTCTAATATATACATCAAACTAGTTTAATTAGACATATTGATACCAAATAATCTAAAAGAATGGTGTTTTTACACCTACATGGGTTGTT